CCAAGCCTTATCCGAGCCGCAAGACACAGGATGGCTCAAACCGTGCTGTCGAAACTTACGATAGCGCCAGCGTGCTGATGCATATGGAAAATGGTGTGGCGTCGTGATCGAGACGACATCGACCTGCGGGTCATTGATAACTTCGCGCCAGTCGCCGGATGCTCTGCGGAAACCGAACTCGCTGGCACGTTCGACGGCAAGGCTTTCGTTGGCCTCACCCAAATGAACCAGCGATATATCGGGACCGTCACCGAAGACGGCGCGAACCGAGTTCCACGCCAAAGCGTGGCATTTGCCCATGAAACCAGTCCCGATCAGTCCAACACCCAGCATCGACTCTTCTCCAGTGCTTGCGAATATTGAATGAAATAATCTATAACAAACAAAAATGGAATAACTGATCCACTTTGATATAAACATTTTGCTTTGTAAGATGGAGAGGATTGGGGGAGCGATTCGCATGAGCAATATAGATAATGGAGCGGAGCTGCCGCGAGACTTCGACGCATTGCGTAGCCTCATCCTTGAGCGGCGGGATGTATTGCCAAAACGTCTGGCACAGATTGCCGCTTACGCACTGAGCAACCCCGATGAGATTGCCTTTGGAACAGCCGCCAGCATCGCGAACACAGCAGGCGTACAGCCTTCTACGCTCATCCGCTTTGCCCAGCATCTCGGATTCGATGGCTTTACCAGCCTCCAATCCGTCTTTCGCGAACGCCTTCGTGAACGGCAGGTTTCCTATGAGGAACGTCTTTCCGCGCTGCACGGCGATATGGATGGCGTTTCCAAAAATCGCGCAATTCTTAACGGCTTTCTCGCTGCAGCCAGTCAATCGGTTGAAACAATTTCACGGCAGGTTGAAGATGATGTTCTTGACCGTGCTGTTGATGTTCTGGCTGGTGCCGAGACAATCTACCTTCTTGCCCGCCGCCGTTCTTATCCTATCACCGCCTATATGGCTTATGCGTTTGGCAAACTGAAAATTCGCAACCAGTTGATTGAATCGACCGCAGGGATTGATGCTGAGATACTTTCCTTCGCTGGCCCTACCGATGCCGCCATAGCCATCAGCTTTTCGCCATATGCATCAGCCACCATTGAACACGCTGCGACACTCGCAGCGCGCAACGTGCCTGTAGTGGCAATTACCGACAGTGCCTTTTCACCCCTCGCCCAATCGGCAAAAGTCTGGTTCGAAGTAGCAGAAGGTGATTTCTCAGGTTTCCGATCATTGTCGGGGACTATGGCGCTCGCTATGGCACTCACTGTCAGCGTTGCAGAACGCCGCCGCAGTATTTGAACCGCTGGAATATCAAAAAGAATATACATTCCATATTGACGATTCGATAGAATTATTATTTCATATAGGGAAATTACTCGCTGTTTCGGCACGGGACGAATGATCAATATCGGGAGGACGACATGGATAGAACTGATAGCGCCAAGCCCCTTGGCAAGCCGCTAGACGTCATCACCATTGGCCGCTCGTCAGTTGATCTTTACGGCCAGCAGATTGGCTCGCGCCTTGAAGATATCACTTCATTCGCCAAATCCGTTGGCGGCTGCCCGGCAAATATCGCCATTGGTACAGCAAGGCTTGGTCTGCGTTCGGCCCTGCTTTCCCGCGTTGGCGACGAGCAGATGGGCCGTTTCATAAGCGAACAGATGGTGCGTGAAGGCGTTGCCACAACAGGTGTCCTCACCGATCCTAAACGCCTTTCTGCCCTTGTGATTTTGTCCGTCGAGAATGACAAAAGCTTCCCGCTGATTTTCTATCGTGAAGATTGTGCCGACATGAGGCGACATCAGGTTATGGCGCACTTGATGACTTCGCTGTGCATCCATTGTCTTTGCTGTTCACACTTTTCGGACGTGTATCGCGTGTGATGTGCGATATGGCCAAGCCTTATCCGAGCCGCAAGACACAGGATGGCTCAAACCGTGCTGTCGAAACTTACGATAGCGCCAGCGTGCTGATGCATATGGAAAATGGTGTGGCAGGTACTTTGCAGGTGAACCGCTCCGCCTGGGGCCGCAAGGGCCGTATCGCGTTGCAGATATTCGGCTCGAAGGGCTCGATCCTGTTCGATCAGGAACGTGCCAATGAATTCCAGCTTTATGTGACATCGGATCGCCCCACAGAACAGGGTTATCGCACGATACTGACTGCGCCACATCATGAACCCTATGGCCGGTTTATTCCTGCGCCGGGCCACGGCCTCGGTTTCAATGATCTAAAAATCATCGAATGCCACGAGTTGATCAAGCGGATTGAAGGTCAGCCAGCGCATCTGATTGAATTCGCTGATGGTCTTGAAATCGAGCGGACGGTTCATGCCATGGCCCGCTCGTTCAATGATCAGCGTTGGGTTGACGTGCGATAGGTCAGCCTACCATCTGAGAGCAAATCGCCCGGCTATCGCTCCAATGAGGCCGGGCACCAATACGCCTAAGGTGTACCAGATCGCGACGAAGGGCATAGCGCTTTCGGTGCAATGGAATGAGTATATCAATGATCCCATTGCGCCTGAGGCCAACCCGGCAACAGTACCTGCCAGTGTCAGGCGTGTAGGCGCCAATCCGCGTAAAACCCAGAATGCGCCTATAAGCAAAGGCATGGACAGCATGACTATGTTGAACGTGCATACTGCAAGCGATTTACCGGTCAGTAGCGCATAGTGATCCTGCGGCGGTGCCATGGCGAACATCCCCGCAGCGAGTATTCCGAACGCAAAGAGGGCGACAGCCATCAAGACGAGGTTGATGAAAATACTGCCAGCCGGATAGGCGATACGTTTGATGGCCCATGCGCCAATGACGGCCAAAAGCAGGGTGTAGGCGAGCTTGCCCCAGAAAGGCATGGTAGCCGATGCTTCCATGAGGTCGGGCCGCATTCCCAACCACCAAACCATGAGAAGCCACGAGGCAACGAAACTTAATCCCAAACCAATAGCAATCCGTTTTGCAACGGCTGAACGTGACACGGGTTTCAAATCGCCTGTGAGACGTGCAATCAAATCATCCGTTGTCATGCGCACGTCCTTTCAATTTTGCGGCAATCGCCTTGATGCCTCTGTGAATACCCACCTTGACCGCCGATTCGGAAAGGCCGGTGCTTGTCGCAACTTCCGCTATGGACTGCCCTTCGATCTTCGTGCGGTATATCAACTCCCGTGATTTTTCCGGCACTGATTGCAACAGGCTCTCTACATCCATCCGATCTGCCGCTGCATCGGAATAGTCGACTGGGATCAAATCTTCAGCGTCATCCAAAGGCACTGTTGCCCTAATTTTATTGCGCCTGAAATGATCAATCAGCTTGTATCGCGCTATCGCATGCAACCAGGCTGTAAACGGCCGGTCCGTCTCGTATGTAGCCCGCCTTGAATGCAAAGCCATCAATGTATCCTGCACCAGATCATCGGCGTCGCTCTTGTGAGACTCGGCCAGCCTACGCAAAAAATAGATACGCAAATGCTTTGCAACGTCATTCAACAGAATGGCGTAACTACGCGCATCGCCTGCTAGGCTTGCAAGCATCAGTTCTTTCAATCGCGTTTCGACAGAGTGCACTCCGTTTCAATTCCTTATTCGACCCAGAGCCGGAAAAGTTACAATTGAAACGCAAGACAGCGGAACGTCAATGGCGCACGCAGAAAGTGCAGCTTGCCATCACCAATCCGTGATCGGTGTAACCAGATTCCATTCCCAAACGTATTGCCTGATGTGACCGGCAAAATGCAGGCCACGAAAGCCGAGGAGGTTGATATGGTTGTTCAACGTGCAGGATTGCGCAGCAGCATTGTTCTTGCTGCAGCAGTTGCAATGACGGGCATGGTGTCGGGAACAGCCCTGGCCGATGCGATGAAACCATTAACTGTCGTTGAGTTGTTCACCAGCCAGGGCTGTTCGTCTTGCCCGCCTGCCAATGCAAATCTTATTGAACTCAGCAAGCGTCCCGGTGTGTTGGCGTTGAGTTATGGCGTTACGTATTGGGATCGGCTTGGCTGGAAGGACATTTTTGCCAAAGAAGAATTTACCGACCGGCAGCAGGTTTATGAGCAGCCATTGGGCCGTGACGGTCCGTTTACCCCGCAGATGGTCGTCAATGGTCGCGCCGATGTAGTCGGTAACAGATTATCGGAAGTCGATCAGCTCATTGCCGAACAAGGTACACTCGCCAGGCCAGCGCTGGAGCTGGGCAAGGGAACGCTGACAATCGGGGCAGGGTCCGCGCCAAAAGGCAAAGCGGACATATGGCTCGTCAGTTATGATGAACATCTGGTCAATGTTCCCGTGAAGCGTGGTGAGAACAGTGGCGAAACACTTCCACACAAAAACGTTGTGCACAGCCTGACAAAACTCGGCACATGGACCGGCATGGCCGAGACCGTGGAGCTTCCACCTGTGAAGGCCGGGTTACGCAATGCAATCCTGATACAGGAGCCGGACGGTGGTCCAATCGTTGCCGCGGCGAGCCAATAACCAGTTTAAGAATTCCTGGCGATACCCGGGATGAACGGATGTCAGATCATCCGAAACTTAGAGACACGTTTCAACGTGTCTGCATTAAACCCAAGGAGAATGATTATGAACGTTTTTACACGCAGTATCGCCCTTTCGGCTTTTGTTATGGCCACCGGCTTTGCCAGTGTTAATCTTGCTGCGGCCGAAGATGCGATGAAGGCCGATCCAATGAAGAAAGAAGACTGTCTGAAGCAGGCGGGCATGGAATCCGATGCGATGAAGAAGGATACCATGATGAAGGAATGCGATTCCATGGCGATGAAACCCGACGCCATGAAGAAAGATGCAATGAAACCTGATGCGATGAAAAAAGATGCCATGAAGCCGGACGCCATGAAGAAAGACGCTATGAAACCGGATGCCATGAAGAAAAAGCCGGATGCAATGGCTCCAGCCGCAAACTGATATAGACTGCATCTCGAACCGGTCAGCAGGATCGGTAAGGCAATATCTTCTCCCCCTGAAAAAGGGGGAGACATTGGATGCAGATGACGAAGACAACAGGCCCGTGGAGGCTCAAATGACGAGTGTCACTTCCGGCACTGCCCTGAACGAAAAGCCCAAGAAGGTTCTGTTCTACCGCCATTCGCTGGCGGTGCGTATTACGCATTGGCTCAACGTATTGTGCCTGAGCTTCCTGCTGATGAGCGGCCTGCAGATATTCAATGCTCACCCTCATCTTTACTGGGGGCAGTATGGCGCCGATGCGCTTCCCGATGCCTCGTTCATCTCCATTGAGGCTTATCCCGATGGCGACAGCATGAAAGGCGTGACGACAATCGGACCATTTCAGTTCACCACGACCGGCGTACTCGGTGCGTCAAAGATGGACGGTGAACTGACACCCCGGGCTTTTCCGTCCTGGTTAACGATACCGAGCTATCAGGATCTTGCGACGGGGAGACGCTGGCACTTTTTCTTTGCCTGGTTCTTCGTGATCAATGGGTTCGTCTATATGCTTTATGGGATGGTCTCCCGGCATTTCCGCCGTGATCTCCTGCCTAGCCGCGCAGAGCTGACACCCAAACATCTCGCCCATGAAATTGCTGACCACGCCCGCCTGCGTTTCCCAAAAGGAGAAGAAGCACGCCGCTATAATTCATTGCAGAAGCTCGCTTATATGGGTGTAGGCTTTGTATTGTTGCCTTTGATGATACTGACCGGCCTCACCATGTCACCCGGTTTCAATGCCATTTTCCCTTGGCTACTTGATGTTTTCGGTGGTCGCCAATCCGCCCGGACAATTCATTTCATCACTGCTTCGCTGGTCGTTGCCTTTGTTGTGGTTCACGTCATCATGGTTCTGGTATCGGGTGTCTGGAACAATCTG